TACATGCGGTTTGGCTCCAAAGACTTATCCCAAGATGTTAAGAATTTTATAGCGATAGAATTTATCCTAATTCCACCAATTATCAATCCCCTCATCTACGGTTTCATGTTTACTCAAATCAGAAAAAGAGTCAGATTGTTTTGTTGGAGAAGCTCTGTTTTGGGGTCTAATGGCACAAACTGATCCACACAAAGAAAACTAGTCTAATGTGTTACAATCCTTTCATGAAAAGACAGTGTTCTGATAATTTCAAGCTGTTCAGTAGTACCACCACATAAAACAGCAATATAGAAGAACTGTTTAGATAAAGCATTTTTCAATGTGAGTGGGTAGGAATGTGGCATTATGATTTCCCTTAACTTTCATTGAACACTTAAATCCTGATGAGCAGTGAAGCTCTAAATTATTTTACAAGTTTTGTATATATTTAATTAATTGAATGTGCATAAAAACTGTAATGTGGTCTGCCCATCTATTCAAACCATCATACAGGTTTTTGTTTTCATGCTTTCTTTTCTCTCTATTAATTTGTTTTTCAGTTTTGCAGATCTTTCCAAATGCTGAAGAACTAATTACTTTTAATATATCCTGTATGACATTTTCTCAACTCAGGAAATCAACTTAAATGTAAGCTTTCCAATTTGCTTCTCTAACTTGCTATTTTGCATTATCACAGCAAAATGATTGGACAGAATTTTTTAAGGCAGAACAAATCAACTGAAATATATTGAAATTCAGACTCTTATGAATAGTAGTAGTGAGAAAAAAGTAATGCGGACTATATCTTTGGTTTAGATTTGTGAGGTTTTTAAAGCTGTTTATGTGCTCTATTCCACAGTTGTTGTCAAACCAGACTACTGATCACAAAATGCTTATTTCTTAACATATTTGTTAAAGTTTTCACACTGTAGAAAATATCATTAACCATTTTGTGTGGATGGGACACTCTTTTCTTGTGTCTCTGTCTTCTTTCCCAGCCGCACATAGTTATTTTATCTATCCAGGTGTAATGTTAAATACTAAAGCAGGAAATAAATCATATTAGCTCATGTGTATTATTCTTTGCTTGATTTTGTGTTATTGTTAAACTCCTTCGAGAGGAAATTAAAATATGTGCACATATTGTTGTATCTAGTGTATTAATACCTATATTTGGAATCATGGGTGAGAGACGGAATGAACATGGAAGCCTTGGCCTTTCGGTCCGGTTCTTTCTTCATCACAACAGACTTGTACGAGATCTTCATCATGGCAGTCAATACCTCAGTCCAATTCTCTATCTCTCTCTTTGTCTCCTACCTTCGTTTTCAAGTGAGATCAAGATATATTTGTGCTCAGATCAGCTCTTGATTTTCCATACACTTCGAGGCTCTTCAAGTCCTTCAAGAGACATGCAGACATATATCAAATCATAGATTAAATCATAATCCCACGACCCACTGAGCAACTCCAGGGGGGTAAGAAACGTGTCCAGCTGTTCCAACATCTGCAAACACACGGCTACTCTTAAAATGAACGTGACAGAACTGGTTTGGAGCTTCTCTCTATCACTCCTGGCTGAGTAAGCATTCCCAGAGAGGCTGAAGTGTATGATATTTGGGCTTATTCATTCAACCATTAATGCATTTTTGTCTGTGTTTTGTGTTATGATAGCTTTAGTCCGTAATTATGGAGGTAGCATCCGGTGGCTTCTTTTTGCCAAAGCCAACACCCACCAACCCCACACACTGCCTCTGCAATTTGGCTTGGTTTTTGTCAATTAAATTATGAGGTACTGTACTAAATTATGTGTTGCTCATATTAAGATTTATTTATCTAATTCAAGAAATATGCATCATTTTATTTGGTGTTTGTTTTTTAAGTCTTCATATGATAAACCTTGGGGAAAAAAACAGGGAGAGTAATTATAATAATTTTTTAAAAGCTTTTTATCTTCTTTTTCTTCACAACTTTAGATGTTTTCGTGTAAATCCGTTGCCGACAAAGGCAGCAAAATAGGAAAACCCCTGAAAGAGCCAGTGACTGTAACTGTTCTTTATATCTATTCAACTTGATAAAGTCAATCAATGACTGAAACAAATAGTTTGTTTACGGTCTTAAAAAGTGAATCCATGTTAGGAATAACATGATCTTTTGCTGCTTGCACTTGTAAGCATTTCTGACGGGGCTCAGGATCAACGCACACATTCCCAATCCCCAGCTGACATAGTCAGAGGAGTTATTAGCAGATGATGCAAGGAGAGCAGAGTCAGAACAGACAGC